AATTTTACATTTTAGCTATTAAACTGGCCAATATATAGAAACGTTAACGTAGATGTTGGTGAGGGTGGAGTGACACGGGAGCCTGTGTGAGGGGCACTGATGAACGGTGCTTCTGGACGGAGAGTGTGAAGTACAGATGAAGAACCTTAGACATGTTCTAGCACCTTCTCCAGGTCATTCTGCTTCTGGCCTGTACCCTCGGAGACCATTGGAAACGCTGTGGAAATTGACCTCTAAAGATGTCACTTGCACCTATTATTTACGATTGCTCAATTTGGGAGAAGGTCCGTGTTTTTAAAAGTTTCAACTGCAACGTATCTGCACGTAAACATTACGTCATCTGAATGAGCGTGTTCTCGCTGCAGACCCCCCAGCAGTACTGGAGTATGTAGTGTCTGCTTCCGGCAGTGTGGTCAACCTGATGTCCTGAAAAACCTTCCTGCGAGGACAAACTGATAAACACGACGTCAAGAAAAGAAAACCTTCTAAGTGCGTGGCTGAACCAGCAAGCGAGAAGGAGAAATTACGGAGATGGAAAAGGAAATGCCCAGACCCTCAAGGATGGGCACGCACATCTGGCGTTGAGGAAGCCATTGGGGAAACCCAACGTAAAACCACGACAAGCCACCACGTGAAGTCTTCCAGAATGGCAAAACATTTAGACTCTGAGGCTGTCGAGCGTTGGCACGGATGTGTATGGCGGTGGGGGTGCTGGTGGGGGTACAAACTGGTGTCACTACCTAGAAGAATGGTCTGGCGTCATGGGCGTCACCGTGCGGAGCTTGGAAGGTGCAAACTCTGTGGCCCAACGAGGCCGTTCCCGGGGGGTGCCCCGGGGAACACTCCCGCGCACGCGCCAGGAGGGGAGCACCAGGCACCCGTGTGTTGCAGACATGCTGGGGGCACTGCGACCGTCCCGGCCGGGGGATGGCCGGGCAAGCTGCTGTGCGCGCACGTGGACAGCCAGTGTATTTGTGACGTGGGAAGAAGAGAGCAAGGTTGCAGAAAAACCTGTCATCGGAGTTTGTATGAAATCTAAAGACATGCAGAACTAGTATTAGATTTTTAGGCTTAACTTCAGCTCTGGGGAAATCACATGGGAAACCACCGGGGAGATACACACAAAATCCCAGAGGGGGCCTGGCGGGCTTGCCATCTCACACTGGGCAGCAGGTATGCGTGTTAGTTTACTGCCGTCACGACGTAAACACGCTAGAACAAAGAGGTTCCTGTGTAAGCGTGAACTATTTCATAATAAAAATATCAGAACAGGGACCGGAGGAAACAAAGATACTCACATTGTTTCGGGGTGGTGGAATTGTGGGTGATTCTCATTTCTTCCTGTTTCTTTTTAAAAAAATTTTTTTTTTTTAAGTTTATAGGGAATGTGCCATTTTTGTTTTCAAGTTGTCCTTTTTTGCCATGAATATTTCAAGCATACAGAAAATACTGGAAATGCTACAGAGCGGACACTCATATATTCATCACACCAACTGAACACATATTGAGATTCTTGCCAAATTGGACTGTTTGTTTTCATATTAGACGGGAGATGAGACAGAAAGAGTTGAAGCCGTCCGGCAGCCCTACTGGATGTTCTTCCTCAGCGTAACCCCCGTCGCAGCGCAGGGTATGTTCCTGCCCACGTGTTCACACCTTCCTGTACGCGTGTACCCGTAAATGACAGAAAATAACGTTTACACAGTTTCTGAAGGTGCAGGAATGTTCTCAGGCTGCACATATCCTCCCGCGACTTCTTTTTTCCCTGAACAAATGTTTCTGAGACTCACTTGTATTGACTTGTGTAATTTCGTTCATCATTTTAACTGCTACCGTGTTTTCTGCTGGGTGAATATCCCAAAATATACCTTTTTATGGTCTTACTGATGGACACTCAGGTGTCTGGTTCTTGGTTTCCCCTGTTATTCAAAGCGATATTCAAAGCCAGGAGTGTCCCCGACCGTTTTTCCTTGGGTCCCGGTATGAGACGTCCTCCAGGGTTTAAGCGCTGACGGGCTCCCGGGAGGTAGAGCGCAGATGTGTTCACCTCGCCAAGACGTTCCCAGATTCTTCTCCAGAGAGGCTGTGCCGGTTCACATTCCAAACAATTGCACATGAGTGTGTCTGCTTCCCCACATCTCTGCCTCGCCTGGGTGGTACCACACTTTCTATGGCTCTCCATCTGAATAATGTAAGATTCTATTCCATCATGGTCTGAATTCTCCTTTTCCAAGTGCTCTTTCAATCAGAGGAACAGATGTTAGAGAGACCCTTAAAAATAAGTGACAAGATTTTACTTTTGGATGGCGAGACTCATGTGATTGTGGTCGGTGCAGGAAGGCAGGGACGGGCGTGGAGAGAACGTGCAGGTACAGGTGACATCGAATGTGACGGTAAAGGCACAGAAGGGGCAGGGGTCTTCCCTGGCAGACGACCAGTAAGCACAGGGGGCTGGTGCTGGCGGAGGCCAGAACCTCCCCAAAGAGGAGCCCGGATGAGCAGTTCAAAGCCACGGCTACAAAATCAGAGCGCGCATCTGTCTGCGCTAAGAGCGAAACACACATGAAACGCTTACTGGCCTCCCCTCCATCTCCTGTGGGGTCCTCCTGTCAGAATGATTCTTATCAGTCCATGATGGCTACAGTGAGTGCGGAGGTGGGTGCAGAATTAGCACCAGCCTTGGGACTGGAGCACGGGCGGAGGGCAAAGCCAAGGGGGGCTGCCAGGCCCAGGGCCGTGGGGCCTCCCTCCCCCAGCAGGCAGGGGAGGCTCTGCTTCTTGGAGACTCCGGGTACTGTGACAGGTTGGAATTCACACTTTGTGCTCCAGACATGTTTCCTGTCTCACAGCAGGCTGGGGACGTCCCCTGGGTAATCGGATACGCTCCATCCGGAAGAGGCAGCAGTCTGGGCCCTGTGTGGAGGGCTCCAGAAAGCCTCTGCCGTAGCCTACGCCCTGCACACCACCCTCCGCCCCAGGTCTGGAGCTCCAGGCGCAGGGCCCAACAGGTGTCTGAGATCCCGTCTCGTCCGGACAGGATCCGAAACACATACTTCAACAGGGGCTTCTTCGTCTGCTCATTGTGATTTGAGTAGCAAGAACCTATAGTTCCCAAGGTCACCCAATTCAGAAATACCGTGCTCATAGCAAGACGCCCCATCTAGTGACTCCAGGCACTGCCCAAGGAAGAGTCAGACCGAGGAGGGCCACAGCCTTTGTGCAGGCGACTGAGGTATGCCCCAGGCCCCGTCTCCATGAAACAAGAACTCAATAAATATCTGCCTCTCCCTTTAGTTATCACCTAAAAGACAAATCTGATTATGTCACTTTGCTGCTCCCAAGTCCTTGGGTGACTCCCTACTGGCCTCAGCACACATGAAAAAAAAAAGTTTTTAATGAAGCGAACCCTTCTTTGAACCAAATCTTAGAATCCTAATGTCAGAAGCAGATAGACGTGGTGAATTTTGCCACCTGTCTGTAAGCTCAGGTTTCTGATCTGAACACCCAGCACAGAAACTGACACATTTGGGGGTCTGCCCCACGTTGGGATTAGGGACGCACCCGATCAGAGGGCTGGCCCAGGTCTGGAGAACATACTGTGCCTTTCAATGCCTGATTTCACGCATCAAGGCCTAGGAGCACCCCTGCCTGGTGCAGCCGGCCATCCCCAG